TCGGAGGATGAGATCGCCGGAGCCCGTTCGCGCTCCTTCGGAACCTCCTCCATGGACAGAAGAGGAAAAGCCAACAAAGCTGGGGTTTTTATTTCCGAGCTCCTTAATTGGAGTGCATCCGGGTCTTACTGGGAGCAGACGGGTCGGATCTGAGCTGCGGCGTGCTCGCCGGCGAACTGAGACGAGCTAGAGTGGGTTTGCTTGTTGAATTTTTTTTTTATTTTTTTTATTTTTGATATAATATGCAACAACTCAAATAAAATCCCTTCAGATAGCAACTGCGAGCACAAGGAAATGGATTTGAGATTTAACTTGAGTTAATTAATTAGATTATATGATGATAATTTAACGTATTCAAAAGAGGAGCCTGCTTCTCTTCACTTCTCTTCTCTTCAGAACCATCCGCATGCATGCAGGTGCGTACTCATATTTAGAAATAAAATAATAGAAGTTATTTATGTGCAGATTGTTCTGATATGATTTATTCCCGTAGAATTTATGAGAATAATAGAAGCTATTTATGTGCCGATTGTTCTGATAGAATTTATTCTCACGAAGGGTGGGGTATATTTAAAATCTATCCTTGTGTATGAGACGACAAAATCAAATAGAAACGTAAACCAGGTCACTCTATAAGTCAAATGAGATTTGAATGCAAGTCCAAGGCGAATAAAATATATATTTAAAGATTCGACCGTTATACTAAAACTAAGTCAACCATATGTCAGTAGAGATATATATATATATATATAGACACACACGCACCGAAAGTTTAATATGTAAATACCAAACACATTAAATATAGAATCCTCTTATGAAATGTCAGCGGTTTGGGAGGTATGTGCGTGACAGTCACTCAACGTCACTAGGGGTTGAAACCTATTATCTTCTTGGGGCCAATTTCATAAAACCCCAAGACTTTGAGAGGTTTTGCAGATGACTTTGGTAAACTATTTTAAGTCCACCAAACAACATGATGGACTTTTGAGGGGTTCCGCACGTAACCCCCTTGACTTTCTTTTATTGCATAATAATGTACACACGTATTAATATTAATGAATCACTATAATATACTTTACTTAAAAACAAAATGTTACAATCCGCACCAAAGCCAATTTACTAAGAGCCTAATGTTTACTTAAAAACAAAATGTTTCAGCTATAATCTCGCAGCTTTCAGCTAGTTTTGCCAAACAGAGCCTAAGCTTGATCTATATTAGTTAGTCAAATCTTAAGCTTGGGCCACCGTTTTGGACGTGGTCAGAGTGAAGAAAAGTTTCTCGTTAAATACAGTGCTAATTTACTAGAATAAGCTTGATCTCTATATTAGTTAGTCAAATCTTGAATATACAGAAGCTAGGAATCAGTTAATTCATTTCTCATCAGTAGGAACCAATTGCATGCGCCAGAAACACATTAACGTCGGGTCTAGTTTAGCTAATCTGGTTAGATTAATTAGCTCTAGTTAAGAGAAAGTATCCGGCGAGGATAGCATATGGCGTTAAATTAATATACACATAAATGATGTTAACCGTTGGATCTGGCTACAAACATCTAAATCTAATGATCCAACAGCTAACATTATTTAGGCGCACATTTAATATCATGGATCTGGGTGCACTTGAACCCCGATTTCTCATTTCCTTTTTTACTAAAAAAGAATTCTATAGAAACCGTTCATAGTATTGAATATTATAGATCTCGATGTCCTTCATACCCCCCACGCCCATTATGCACAAAACATAATTAGAAACGATATTCTTGTATTTATGGTTGTGATTAAAAACGCTGATAGCTTATCAAAATAGTATAAAAAATGATAGAGGCACACCCTTAGGCACACCACCAACCACACTCCCCATCTTGCTACAGTGCAGCGACCCCACATGTGATTTTTTTAAAAAAAATCCCACATGTGATTTTTTTAAAAAAAATCACATGTAGGACCGTTGCACTGTAGTAAGAGGGAGGAGTGTGGTTGATGGTGTGCCTAAGGAGGTTCCTGTAGGGCCTCCCAAATAGTATTGCTTTAACTAACTAGGCACATTAAGAGGATGTGTACCGTACGTGAGCGTGGGAAGTGGGAAATTAGTGATGGGGACGAGAGCCTCGGTATAAAAAATACAACATTAATGCATCCACCTGTCCGCGCTCCGCAACGACTACGACTTCTTTGCTCTCAAAAGTTTTTGCCAAGTGTTAACTGAAACAAGTGGGTCTAGTTTGATTCGGGCGGTGGAAACGAAACTGATTAGTTCGGTGATTTACTCTGCCTTAATGGACTCCTATATATACTCAGAAGCACATTATAATTATACAAAGTTAGGGTTTTGCTCACCAACTATTTTAACTTTTTTTATCTGCTCAGCTAGTTTTGAATTCGTACTGGCACGTAATATATATGAAGTTTATTTTTAAAACGTGTATCTTCGTGTGCATCACTGATCAGCAAAGATTTTCAAAGCGAAATTGTATGATAGTGTCAGAACAAGTGCGCAATAAAAACGAAAGTAATCGCGAAGAACAAGTAAGAGGATAAACGATAAGCAATCGTAAATATAGAGATTTATATACGTGGTTCATCTAATTTGGACTAACGTCCCCGACAGAAGCGTTGGAGAAATTCCACTATCAAAAGATAAAAGAGAACAAAAATAAGGCAAAAGTCTAAACCATCAAACTCTCCTTCTTCAATCCTCACAATAAAACCCCTAAATCTAAATTCTCTCTATTCTAATATGGAGGAGACAAGAATAGATCAGGAAAGAGATATCCAAAACTTGATAAGAGCTGGAGATCAAAAGAAACACGAACGGCTGAGATTAGATCTGGAAATCCACCAAAATGCATCTTATACACAATCGATGGTTAAAAGCGATCAATGATTGATGTGGATCATGGTTCCATATAGTCCATCGATTGTCCAAATTTTAGTTTCTATTTTTCTCTGATTGTTCACCTACAAATCATTCTAATTTTAATTGCGCCAATGCCAATCACTTTACAATGAGAATCGTTTCCCATAAGGATAACTCTACCTTTAAATGATTTGTAGGTGGAAAATCAATTTCTATTAGAGCACATGTGATAAATACAACTGGAGTCTAAGATCTAATCATCCTTAGATCTACTTGAATTTGTAGTAAGGAGAATAAAACTATTAGAATCATCCTCGACAATGCTAACCTCCGCAGAGTCTTTTTTGACCTACTTTTTCTTCTTTTCTTTATTCTGAAGCTTCCAACACTCATTCATGACATGATCTTTCTTCTTGCAATAGTTTAGAATTTGCTCTTAGTCTTCGACTTTGATCTCGTCTTATTTTTATTGTTAGAACTATGCTTCATATTTTTACCTCGAACATGTAAGGTTTCGACTTTACCATCACTGGATCTGGTCAACTCCTTATCCATCAACTCTTTCGAGAATAAAGATGATTTCGCATCTTTGATCGAGATAGATTCTTTGACATATATTATAGTTTCCCTAAAGTGCTTGTAAGGGGGTGGCAGTGAACATAACAATAACAAAGCTTGATCTTCATCTTCTAACATTGCATCTTCTGTCATGCAGAGCATAAACAATCTTTGTTTTAAGAGCAGCTAGTTGGGGTTTTTTGTCATGTAAAGAGATTCCAATTTGAACCATAGGCCCACTACGGTCTTCTCATGCATGACTTCCCGAAGAACCTCGTTTGACAAATATAATTGGATTGAAGTTAATGCCTTTTCATCCATCTCGAACTTGTCAACATTTGTCATCGACGCCAGCAACTTATCTTTTCCCAATAAAGCCTTTTGTAATACTTGCTGAATAAGAATATCTAGCATCTTCTCTT